TATTTGTCAAAGCCAAAATAATATATTAAAGGTACAAGTTAATACAAATAAGGAAAACCTTAAATATATTATTAAGGAAGGAAGTTGTGTATAATAAGGATTCTAAATTAAAAAAGAATCCTTGTTTAAATATAACTTTCTTACCTTATTAGTAAGGATTGTACAAGGCAAAAACTCTATAAGAAGGATACGAGGCAGAGGAAAACTACACGACTTCACGCAGAGAACAATGGAGAATTATTCATCAAATTGAAGTCTTCAAGGTTGATAAGATTACATCGTTTAAAACATTCTTGAGTAAGAAGGTTTTATCGTGTAGAACTATTTGTCTTGTTTTTGTTCTTAATTGTAGTTTACAGTTTATTGTACAAAGGGTGGGTTTGGCTCTTTGTAGGGTTGAGTGTTAGTAAGAGTTGTAACAAAAGGTGGGTTTGGCCTTTTGGAGAGATCGATTGGAGTCAATCGAGGGAGTAGTAGAGATAAGACTTTTGATTATTGAGTTGTAATCACAAAATCTTATAGTTGAATTAATAAAACGAGGTTTTTCCTTCCTTGAGTGAGGAAGGTTTTTAATTCAATAAGTGTTTGTGTCTTTACTCTGTCTTTACTTAAAAGCAACTTACACGAACCTGGTTCGTGTTCTGGGGTTAGTTTTCTACACACCCATTTTTCAGCGGGTCAAAGCTATAATGAATAGAAGGAAAGTGAATCAGAAATATAGATGAACGACTTGACTATCGTATAGATTTGATGTTTTCGTGGGCAATAAGTAGCAGATCTCCCCTTATTTTGGGAAAGTTGGTAGTCGCGTGTGAATTCTTTTAAGGCAAAGGGCAACTTGATTCGATATTGTTGTATACTCTGATTCAATTGAGGTGGAAACCTCAATGAAACAACAAGAATACAACATACCCCTATTTATTAGCCATTGGAAAAGATCAAGCCTCTTAAAAGGAAGAGATAGCAGAATATTTTTTTAAAACAAGAAGAGGACTATGTTGGAATAAAAGAGAAATGGAGTAATTATGAAACTTAAATGTCACATCATGTAAAATGATTCTAAAAGGAAAGAAAAACTGATAATCTTACTATCAATTTCTTCAACAGGAACAATCCCTTGTGCAAAAAGATATATCAACATTATCTTTTAAAAAAACTATTTCCAAGTATATGCTAGAAAATGACATTTCTAAAGAATAAAGTATAAGAAGAGGACATATCAAATCAAGTTATTAATACAAAAAATGGTGGTGAACTCTTAACCTTTAGATAATTGTATTTTTTTTCTTGTTTAGTGTTTTGGCAAATTGAAGGTTTTGAGGTTTCGTATATCCCGTTGATCCTAAAGGCCGCTGCACTTTGCTCTTCTCACGAAAGAGTTTGAAAATTCAGCTATAGGATTGCTAAAAATCCCTCGAAGCCACGGTTGCCATGGATTTGGTAGACACAACTCTTGAGGAGACCATATTTTTCTGCGGAGATCCATATTTATTGATGCTTGATGATAAATCAAGTACTTCTTCAACATGTAGATATCTCATTTTCCCGATCTATACCTCCTTTTCTCAGTTAATACGATGTTAACCACGAAACATACTATGTTTCTTTGGTTGCACAGTACTCTGACAAATATTATGAGAGACAATACATAAATGTGCCCTTTAACTTGACTTCAAATCATATTTATACTCTTCAACTTTGAATGTGCATAAATAGACACTCAAACTTGTATAAAGTTAAACAAATACACACACATGTCATTTTTAATTTTACGTGGTGTCCTACGTGTATTGTGCCATGTAGGACTCATGTGTTTATTTATTTAAAAGTTGGATAGTTAAAGTGTCTGTTTGTGCATTATGAAAGTTGGAGTTCAAAGTTAAAATTTGAAGCTAAGTTTAGGATTCAATATATGTATTATCCCATTCTGAGGGTGGTAGCATAGGTCCCTCATAATGCACATTTTCTAGTTTACTCGATGAAAACATCATCTCTTTTCCAATAACACATTCTTCACAACACCAATCCACTAGTGCATTAACATAATAACCCATCATGCAATCGAAAAGGAAGAGAAAATAGCATAATATATTTAGGCCAAATACATAAACAAATTCCTAAATTTGTTTGGTTTTTTCCCTCAGGTACCTTAACTACATCATTTTTCAATTGAATTATTGAACCACCCATAATTTGTTTCTTTAAAATACTGTTAATTGATTTTTTGATATATTGTAAATGTCTTTAATTATGTTCGAATTATAATAATTTTGATTGAAGGAATGAAGACAAACTATGTTAGTCTCATTTGTTTTCTAATGTGTTCAAATGACTTAAGTAAAACACAATTATTCTCAAACATTTTCACTATCAATTGGACTAATGATTTGTGGAACAACATATGTATCCTCTATCAATATCCCTCACAAATCTGGTTCCACATCAGACAACGGTGTTTGTTTAAACGGAACAAATTATGGGGGTTCAATGATTCAATAGGAAAATGACGTAGTTGAGGTACCTGAGGAAAAAAAACCCACTAAGTTTAGGGATCTGCTTATGTATTTGGCCATATATTTAAAACAAGAAGAGGACTATGCATGCATAAAAGATACATGGAATAATTATGAAAATTAAATTCCACATCATGCAAAAAAGATTCGAAAATGAAAGAAAGATTGATAATCTAACTAGCAATTTTCTTCAAGAGGATTAACCCTTGGATAAGAAGATTTATATATTAACATAAATTTTAAAAACTATTTAGAGCATATGAATGAAATTTCTAAAGAATAATGGTATAAGAAGAGGACAAATCAAATCAAGTTATTAAGAAGTGTGGTTCATATTGTATTTTTAAGATACTTACAACAAAATTTTAAAGAACTTGGTAATACACAACAAAGTTTAAGAACATTTTCACAACTAGAAAATTAAAATTAGTAGAGAAACTAGAATAAAAAATAGATTAGAAAAAATATACAAAATATTTTTCTTCAAAAAGAACCGTTGTCAATCAGTATTTAAAGAATCTTTTTTATTCCAACAAAATTTGCAGAAACACGATGTTATCAAAGTTTAATGAACCAGTGAAAAACAAAAGAACATAAATTAATTTTCAAATCTAAAATCTGTAACACATACTAGAATCTGGAAAAAAAAAAGATCAAGTCCACTAAATGCATAGTGTCCCCTTTAGGAAATTATTCCCCTCCAGTATCCGAGGTTTGATTTGGAATATGTCCTCCCAGGATAGAATAATCTCAATCACCAGTGTAAGATACTCAAAATGTGGTGTTAGCGAGTCACTCAACGACAGTAAAGTAAACTTAGAATACTAGATTTAGTAGTAGTAAAAGAAGTCCAGAAATTCTATTATTAAAATGAGTGAAAATCCCTCAATTAATACAAAACAATAGATAGTGTGAAAAAGTTCTAATTGTGCGTTACCGGAAAAGTCACAAACCTTTGGAAAAGTCACAATCTTTCGGAAAGATCACAATCTTTCATAAAAGTCAAAACCTTTCATAAAAGTCGCAACTTTCATAAAAGTTTCAACTTTTCATAAAAATCGTACATATTCATAAAAGTTGCAACTTTTCATAAAAATTTGCAACTCTTCATTTTTCATTCACACCTTTTAAAACCCAACAATAAATACATGCAAAATATTGTGGTGAACACTTGACCTTTAGATGATTCTATTGTTCTTTTGCTCTATCAAGTGATTTTCGGTCATTTGAAGATTTTGAGATTTTGTATATATTGTTGATCCTAAAGGCCGCTGAACTTTGTTCTTCTCATGAAACGAGCTTGAAATTTAAGCTCTAGGCTTGATAAAAAATTCCCCGAGCTACGGTTGCCATGAACTTGGATGACACAACTCTTGAGGAGACCGTATGTATTCACAGAGATCCATATTTCTTGATGCTGGATGATAGACCAAGTGCTTCTTCAATATGTAGATATTGTGAAACTAGGTCTTAGGCCTAAATCAAATCCCAAAAGCTAGCTCCAAGGGATGAGGATTTCTCAAGCCTTATAAGGAGTACACCAATCTCATTAACCACCATGTGAGACTTTTTGTCATTCTTTACACCCCAACGCACAGTGTGTAGCATCTGGTGCGTGTGCAATTTTGATTTTAAAGGCGCCAACATCGGGTGATTGACCCTGCTCTTATAACATGTTATGGTTATTCTTTTTTGTACCTCTTCTTTCTCTTCCCTTATATTAAAGCCTATGAGAGCATTAGCAAATTGATTAAGGGTGGATATAGTGCCTTACCTAATATGATAAAGGTCTTGTATTTGAGACCTAAACTTTTAGCAAAATTAATAATTTTTATTGCTTGAATATAAGATTTTTCCAAGCGTTCCCACTCTCCTTGGCAGTTGAGCAATCCACAATAAGGTGCATTTTTTCTTCTGTCAAGGTGCTTGAGATCTAACTCTTTAACAACATATCTTTCTCCTTCGAATCATCAATGGTGCCATTATCTTTTGCATCCTTTTCAACCGCTACAACTTTCCCAGTAGTCTATCCAGTTGAACAATACTTTACTTGGTTCATGCTCTGTGATATGAATCAATTAGGATATGTGTGTCCTCTTTTTGAGGTAGTTAAATGGCTCAAGTTTAATGGAGCAGGTGACAATGAGTTGGTGAAGTAAGAAGGTTGACATATTTTTGGTAGAAGTGGTCATTGCAACGTGTTTTTTTCCATTTCTTTTATCAATACTCAAAGAGCGAAAAAAACTTTAAGCTCTGATACCATGTAGAAATCTCGAATCTAGGATTAAAATCAAGGATTGTATTGATGTATTGATAGTATTGATATATTGATCAATATTGATATATTGATTAAGGTAATGCTGAGTTATAAGCTCCTCATATAGGAAAGAATTTTAGAGTCATAAGTTAACTATACTTAGAGTCCTACTACAAAACCTATTACTACTACAATAATAATAATAATAATAATAATAATAATAATAATAATAATAATAATAATAATAATAATAAAATTATAAATAATCTAATCCTAGTTGTATTATAATCCTAATCATAAAAATAATTTTAGACGAAATATAATCCTAATTAACATAGGTAGTCTAATCATGGTACAACTCTAATTCTTCAGTAATGTTGTGAACTCGTCAGTCAGCTTCGTTGGACCTGTTTCTTTGACATGTTCAAATCGTCAACTTCCTTCTTCATCAACACTTGCTTCAGTCGGCTGCGTTGAACACGTTCTTTGACATGTTTCAATAATCAACTTCTTTCTTCTTCAACACTTCCCCTCAAGCTAGTGAGTAGAGGAATAATTACTCCTAGCTTTCTTTGAATATCTAGCAAAAAAAACCTCTGAATACCCAACAAAAACTTGTCTTGTCAATGATTTAGTATGTTGATGTTGTTTCTTAATATCCAACAAAAAAAACTTTGAATACCCAGGAAAAACTTATTTAGTCAATGCTTCGGTATGTTGATGTTGTTGTTTCCTCTTCCCCTGCCTTTTTCTAGTCCTTACCTTCTTTTTACATACGATGTCCACCAGGGAACTTACAATGTTTCTTTGATTGCACAGTACTCAGACAAATCTTTCTTGAGGCAGATAACCTAGGTCCCTCATAATGCACATTTTCTTGCTTATTTGATGAAAACATTATTCCTATTTCAATATCACATTCTTCACAACGCCAATCCACTGGTGGATCAACATAGTAGCCCATTATGAAATATCTGAAAGGAAGAGAGAATAATAAAATATTTTTAAACAAAAAGACTATGTATGCATAAAAGATACATGGAGTAATTATTAAAATTAAATGCCAGATCACGCAAAAAAGATTCAAAAGGAAAAGAAAAATTGATAATCCAACTAACGATTTTCTTCAAGAGGAACAACCTCTTGTTTAAAAAGATATATAAACATTATTTTTTAAAGAAAATTATTTAGAGTATGTGTTAGAAAATGAAATTTCTAAAGAACAAAGGTATAAAAAGAGGACAAATCAAATAAAGTCATTAATGCAAAATATGGCAGTGAACACTTAACCTTTAGATAATTGTACTGTTTCTTTGCTCTATTCATTGTTTTTGGCAATTTGACTATTTTGAGGTTTCGTATATCTTGATGATCCTAAAGGCCGCTTCACTTTGCTCTTCTCACGAAAAGAGTTTGAAATTTGAGATCTAGGCTTGATAAAAATCCATCGAGCCACGATTTTCATGGACTTGGTTGACACAACTCTTGAGGAGACTGTATTTATATCCGCGGAGATCCATATTTCTTAATGCTTGATAATAGACCAAATGCTTTTTCAACATGTAGATAGATATCACATTTTCCCGGTCCATATCTCATTTTCCCCGTTAATACAGTGTCCACGAGGAAACTTACTATGTTTGTTTGGTTGCACAGTACTCTAACAAATCTTTTCAAAGGCAAGTAACCTGGGTTGTTCATAATGCACATTTTCTAGTCCACTCAATTGAAACATTATCCATTTATCAATATCACATTCTTCACAACACCAATCCACTGGTGCATCAACATAATGGCCCATCATGCAATATCTGAATGAAATAGAAAATAGCAAAATATTTTTAAAAACAAGAAAAGGCTATGTATGCATAAAAGATATATGGATCAATTATGAAGTTTAAATTCCACTTCATGCAAAAAAGATTCGAAAAGGAAAGAAAAATTGATAATGTAACTAGCAATTTTCTTCAAAATGAATAACCCCTTTGTGTAAAAAGATCTATCAACATTATATTTTTAAAAACTATTTAGAGCATATGAATGAAATTTCAAATGATTGATGGTATAAGAAGAGGACAAATCAAATCAAGGATTTAATAAATACAAAATATTGTGGTGAACACTTAACCTTTCATATCTAGTTAGGTCTTTTTTAAGTGAATTTGACACATTATGTTTTGACTTAACATACACAACTGTGATTATTTCACCGAGGGTCAATTACGATATGTAAATCAACCTTTTGATGAAACTATTTCAAGGTTACACGTGACTCTCACAGAGGCGCTGATGGCACCTTGATTGGGCTATATGTTAGAATATCATACATTGTATGACAAAATTATATATACGACTATCAAGTATAAAAGTGAAAATAACTTAAAACGTTGAATTTTAGCTTTGAAACTCAAATTAAACTAAACAATTATCCCAGTTTAAAAAGCATAATTTTCAGCATACGTGGGTAAATATACTGTGTAGAAGTTCATTGAAAAAGAGAAAAGAACACAGAAATTGTAGACGTACTTTGAGAATCATTGCCCAGGGCTGTGGATGCAAGTATAAGGAGCTCATCATCATTTATAAGCGTTCTCATCACCAAATCTTTGCTACATATGGACTTCACTAGAGCAATATATCTCTCAAACCTACATATAATGGGGAATAAGAATGAATTTCCAGTAAAAATGTTCCTAGGCAAGGGGGCACTTCTACTTTGTAACCCCTTACCCCTTTATCGACAAATATATAAGACATAAGCTGACCTTTCTTTCTCACTTGCAAAAAAATATACTCCTATATCTTCTTTACTTGGAATATGATTGTTGAATAGACTTTCCCAAATATCCTCGTGGGGAACAAGTTCAAATTTAAGAGTATCAGGCAAAATACGTGAGAACTCATACACCTTAAGTCTAACTCTAGAAGGAGGATGAGCCTGGATAAAACTATTGAGCATCCAAGGTACAAATTTCAAAGCACCTAAGATGTCAAAACTTCTCCTGAAATTCAAAGAGGAAGAGAGATTAAATCAATTATAATCTGTCTAAGCAGTACACATCCAGATTATCATTATGTCATATATTCTTTCAATGCACCATTCATTATTTTAGCGATATTAAAGGCATCCCTACCAGCCTGCATGTACCCCAACTAATTCATTGGACAACCTATCTATCTCACAAGCACATATTAACAAGGTAATGTTGTCCAGTAAGGATAGATAAGATGGGCGCACTGTGTGTTGTAGCATGGATTCAAACCGTGAATATCCAAGTTGTTAGCCTTATGCCTTAAACACTAGTACATCTCTTCATGGACCAACATTACGTCTTGAAAAAATGTATCATATATATTTATGTACTTATCAATAGGGAAATTACAAAGAGTAGGTTAATCAGTCAGCGGACAACTAGCAAAGATGGGCCATCCAAAAATAAGCATGTGCTGAATTCACATTGGTAATAATTGTACACAATGAAGGGAACTTACTTCCATGATGGAACAAGATTAGGATCACAAGGGTGTGTCATAGATGAATTCGTCATTCGACACTCATTCACAACATCGAGAATTTTACGCTCCAGACTGGAAGAACAATCCGGACCTAAATTGGATGGAAGTACAAAAGTAAATAAATTTTAATATAAAAGCTTTAAAAATATTGTTGGTGTAAAGAAAATCATTTCAAAAGATAATATCAACTCTAGATATATCAACATCAATTTAAAAAAGTTTTAGACGTGTTTTAGTGTTTTGGAGCTTTTGAACCTTGAGCTGTCATTTTTATTAGAAATTTAGGAAGATGATCCAAAATCCAATTTTGACGATTCCATCAACTCCAGATTGGTCATTTTAGGCTAGTGGCATAGTTGGAATGACTCCCGAAGCTTTTGGTGCGAGTCAATGTGATCAAGCATTTTAGCTGTCAAGTTAAGGCCTAATTTTGACTCTAGTCAATGTTCTGAGTAACCAAGCTTAGATGAGAATTTCATCAGCGTTGTTAGCCTCACAATATTTAGTTTGGTGTAGGACAAACTTTAGTTTAGCTCTTGAGGCTTCCGGCCTAATTCTAAGGCCCTCGTGAATTTTCTCTTACAATAGAAATTGGGTGTGTAATGGACTAAAACAATCATAGAAGAAGAAATATGTTTATAAAAGAAAAAGGCAAAGCATCTTCACTACACAATCAGGAACCAATTTAGTGCAAAATTTAGAACCCCAAAAGTTTAAAACAGAAATAAAAATTAAGATAATGACACAAGCTTTATGTGAAAACATGAAACACTCAAGAATACCTCTATTTCTTGGGCATTGAAAAAGATCTAGCTTCTCTGACAAATGACATTCACGGGCACTCTGAGATAAACCTTCATCACCAACATAAGACACATTCCACAAGGAATGTTCTTTGAGAGTAGGGGAACCTCGAGAAATATCCTTGAGACCAATATAAGTCACACTATGACGAAGGTTGTTTCCCCGAATAGATAGCTTTGTTAAATCTCCACGGTTTGAAGTTCTAACGACAATAGCAACAAGAAGGGACCTGGCAAGATATCCATTAGATTCTGCGATCTCATCCTTGTGAACAGTGCATAAAAGTGTGAGCCATCGCTTAGAAACACAAGCACAAACACTTGTCTCTTTGCCACTAGGTAATCGCTTGAATACCTCCAAGAGGAATTTATTATTAAAGATTTCAATGGAAGGATGATTCCTCTGCTCAAAATTTTCAAAAGCGGCATTGAGAAAAATCCTCTTTCCATTATGTCCACGTGATAAAAGCATAGGTGATTTGTTTCTACTTGGATATGAAGCTTGGAAAAAAGCACTGGTTTTCTGAAAAACTAGAAGATTAAAAACATCAGACAAACACCATCCTACCTAAACTATCCTTTCAACAGATAGTCACAAAATATGCTCCTAATGCACTAAATCAATCATAGAAGAAGAAAGCAAAAAAAAAAAAAAAGGCACAAGCTTTAAGCGAAAACATGAAAGAATCAACAGCATACCTCTATATTTCAAGACTCTATACTACTGGGAATTTAATATTGAACCTTTCAAGCTCAAAAAACCCCGTTGAGACATAAAAAAAAAAAAAAATTAGCGGCAATAAATATTGACCTTAATGAAGAGTATTAAAGTCTTTATTGACATATTTAAGTGTCATTAGAACCAATGTCTCTAAAGGCTTTAGGGATATATACAAAGAATGTTATTGCCGCTAAAAATACATATTTTTTTAATAACAATGATCATTTTTGATATAGTGCCTCTTCCTTTTACTTGTTCTTCCATCACTAATTATTTTTATCTAGATAAATAATATTCATCTCATTTAAACACAACACTTCACCCTTTTTATAGCCACACAATATTAGTAATTGTTATAAGATAGAAACATTAATGGCGGAAGAACAAGTGGAGGGGAGGCTAAAATGGGTTGGGACATTGGGATGACATGCCACATAATATTTACTTCTTCAAAATTTCCGCTATTATATGGGATCAAGACATTTTAACAGAGGAAAAATATATTTGAATTATTCAAGGAATTGTAGTGTAATCTTAAATTAAATAGTATAAGGAAGAATAAAACTGATTTTTTTTCTCAAAGAATAAAATTTGACCATTTTTACATTTATAAGTATAACTAGGGATGTACATGATCGGATTGGTTTGACTTTTTCAAATATCAAATCAAACCATTTGTGTTGGATTTTTGGATCTATAAACCAAACAAATAAAACTCGAGTTTTTCAACTTTGGGTTTCTTCGGGGGTTTTTTTTTACTTCAAATTTTCGGATTTTTCAATAAAGTATTCATACAAACATATAATTTACTTGCACTTCAAATATTTCTGTAGTTCTACCAAAATGCAACATCTAAGTTATTTCTCAAGAAAATAATAAAAAATATGATATGATAATTGAAACTAAAATATCCAACAAAAAGATAATACTGAAATTGCGTAAACAAATATCGCGAATTAATAAATCATAATAAAATTGATCATAATTTAAAGTACTAACTCATGATAAAATAAGTTTAGTAAGTATTAGTTTAATGACTAAATATTAAAAGAAAGTAAAAATAGATCATGTATTTTAATTGTCTAGATCTATGTAAAACTAAAAAACATATATTCAATATTATTGTCATTCTTAGTGTTGAATTGATTTTCTTTTTCCATTAGTATTAATTTAATATTTATTTAAACTTTATTATAATTACCAACGTGTATGGACTATAATCTTTATTAGATAATTAAGAATTCTAACTTCCAAACATAAAATAAATATATTAAAAGAAAAAAACTATGAAAAAGTATAAGAGATATTTAAAAATTATATCAAAGTAAGTATTTTTACGTATAAAATAAAATTTTAAAATTATATAAATAATGTCGGGTTGGTTTGGTCTCGGGTTGATTTTTTTAGTTGAAACCAAACCAACCCAAATATAGTCGAATATTTTTCCAATACTAAATCAAGTCAAGCCAAACCACTTGTCGGGATTTTTTGAGTTTGACTCGATTTGTGATATGATTTGATTTTCGGTTTCATTTTGTACACCCCTAAGTATAACTATACCGTCAAAGCTTTTTAACTAAATTAAAAAGGTTAGTGTCCTGTTTAAAATTTTTTCTGGATTTGAATCATGATATTCACAGCTTCAGCATCTTCAGTAGTTGTTAAATTTAATTATTTGATGCTCGTTACAATAAAATATAGGGAAAATGTTCAAGTACCCCCCCCCCAGACTATGGTCGAAAACTCAAATACACACCTTAACTAAACTAAGGTCCTATTACCCCATGAACTTTCTTTTTTGTAATTTTGTGAACCTTTTTGACTTACGTGACATCCAAATATCTCCCACACGCCTCAATTGTGCGGAATCACGGAGTGTGCCACATAAGATAAAATCTGCACAAAATTACACAAAAAAAAAGAAGTAAAGGGGGATAATAGGACCTTAGTTTAGTTAAGGCGTGTCTCTGAAATTTCGATCATAGTCTAAAGGGGTACTTGTGCATTTTCCCAAAAAATATATCTAATTTTAAAATTTTTTAGAGTGATTTATTAGCCGTCTTGAGGTAGATGAGGATTGCAACTTAACAATTTGTTTTCTATAGCTAAAAGTTTGGAAATATCTTTTATTATTATTATACTATATTCAAGAAAGGATATTAAAAAAATTAAGCAATTCCACGATGCAAGGTGTGCTTAGATTTAGTTTTGTTAATAAAGAGAAAGTATCTCAAAGAAAAAAAAAATACAAGCAAGGGGTATTAGGCCTTACCTAACTAATCATAATGACGCAACAACATCTGCTAATTAACAAGCATGAAAAATAAAGAACTAGAGAAAGCTAAATATTCTATGATTATCGTAGAGCTTATAATACACTTTGTGATGATACTACAAATGAGGATGTTTAAGTAATGAAAAAATATCAAATCTAAGAATAAGTTGTGTTATCAGCCTCAAACTTCATTTTATATATGTAAGAACTAAAAGAGATGGATTTTTCGTGTTAAGTAACATGAAGTATTTCCCTCTTGTCTTATTCATCAAATATGTCCAACAAACTTTATAGTTCATCACTTCTTTTTGGATTTATTGGATCTTGTTGTTGTTGTCGAAACTATCATATAATTTTGTTTGTCAGTTGCATTGGTAGGTTTCTTAGAATAAATTCCTCAGTCACCATACCATCCCCAACTATATTAACTTTCATGTATCGTCTTTTTGCTTTTGTTGCTTCTACTTCTTTGTTGCCTAGGCGAGTGATCAACATCCTTTGTTACCTTATCAAATAATATGTCTAGCATATCATTCTCGTCAAACATTTTACTGCCCAAGTCACCATCATAAGTTGTAGTTGGACTAAGTCTTGAAACTACAACTTGTGGCTCATGGATTTTTTTCCAATACCTTGGTGGTAATAGTCAAGATCTTTTTGGAGTTATCAATTGTCACTTCCGTTAATGGATTTGCCCTACTTGAAGTCACAAATATGGGTTCTTAAGGACTTAACTTACTCCTTGCAGGTGAAGACATATGCTCCTCTTCCTCAACTAAATCTTTCCTTCTAGAATCACTTGTTTCCTTCACCGAACTCTTGTAATTCCTTCTGGAGATCGATTGATTGTTTTCCATTTATTTTCTGTCACCCCCGAGCCTACACCATGTGTGTGATCGACACTCTAGAACCATTGATAGCCCCAAACGAACCCTTGTTCTAGTTTAGTTCTTAGCGAAAAACTTAATCATATTAAAAAACATTAAAGAGTAAACTATACTTCAAATGTCTCAAAAGATAAACTCAGAAATGTTTAAAGAGACAATTCAACTGTCCAAAAGAGGAAACTCAAGTCTCAACATGAATAATTGTAAATGAAAAGACTCATGAACGAGTGTCTATCTATCTATGAAGCCTCTAATACTATGATGGAAGTTGGGACAAGACCCCTGATCATTCTAACAACTGAAATAACTAAAAATAAAGAAGGGGTCCTCCGCAAGCTAGGAGACTCACCAATACTCTAGAACTCAACTAGATCAACGAAACGCTGGATGATGATCCTGGTTACATGTATCTGCATCATAAAAGATGCAGACCAAATGACGTCAATACATAAAATGTACGAGCATGTGAGGGAAAATCTAAAACATGGCATAAGCTTGATGCGGAACTGAAGAAACACTTAACTTGTCTCAACTCAACTCATTTTTTTATAAAGCAATAAAAATAATGTAGTATAAATAAAAGCTATAAAACAGTAGATAACAGCTCAACGTATTAGAAAATACAATAGAAATTCTGTGTATATGCAAAAATACAAAATAACTCTGTTTGGGAGATTCTCTGACCGACAACCATCACTATGAACTATGCGATGACATAGTGTCTAGCCCATGCTGCCAGAATTGTCCTATACTTTGCCGGGATATAAAACTCCTTAACTAATTGGATCCTCTAGTCTATGCTAAAAATCAATAAAAGCATCATCTAAAAAGTATGACTCTTTTCCACCCACGCTGGCTACATAGTTTCACTACAACAAACATGACATATAACTACAAAATTATTAGCTACGACATCAATTTCGTCACTAATTATTTGCTTTTAGTGATAAAATTTACTTTTCGTGCTTAAGTATATGAGACACATACTTTTAGTGATGAAATATAAAAATTCGTAACAAAGTTTGTCCACTAAAGTTTACCACCAAAAAAATAATTGGTGCCATTTTGTTAAGTAGTGTTAGTCATTAATTTAAAGTTAACAGTGATTCATTATTTCATCACTTATAGTGTATGCAATTCGTGACAAACTATGACATCAAATTCATCACTAAGTATTCACTTTTAGTGACAAAATTTACTTTTTATGTTTAAATATACTTTTAGTGACAAAACATAAAAATCGGTAGCAAAGTTTTGTCCATTAAAATTTTCCACCAAAAAAATTATTGGCGTCATTTGTTAAGTAATGTTAGTCACAAATTTAAAATTATCGGTGACATAATATTTCGCAACTAATAATGTATTAATTCATGACAAAAAATTTTGTCTTGTAATTTATTAAATTTTGGACACAAAAAAATTTCATCTAAAAAAATATATTATTACAATATACACAAATTAGAGTTTGTTGTTATATATTATGAATTTTAGCTGTGAAAAATTTAGATTTAATTATGGCATTTATTTTGTCATTAATAATATAAATAATTGGTGACAAATATTTTATTTTCTCTAATCAATTTGTAATTTAGTAACCACAAAAAAATTATTACAAAATATGTAAGGTGTTAAATAGTGACAACTTAAAATTTGTAGTTAATAATTCAACTATTTGCTACAAAAAAAAAAGTCATAGCTAAATACAATGCTTTGCTACAATTGTTCATAATTACAAGTCACAACTTACAAAAAGAATAATACAAGTGCTTGATAAGAAATAGACAGAGTCCATTCGTTAATTGGTAAGTGAAAGTATTAAAACCAACGAATTCGGTCAATTTTGTAAAAACGAAAAAGTTCAATACATCAATTTTCTTAAATTACACAATTATAAAATGCATCATTTGAAAAATACAATACCTGTTATAAGTATTGTGAGTGGGGCACAGTTCTACCACTAGGTCACTAATATTTGTTGGTTTTACACTTCTGTTTTTTTATATTGATACACTTTCATTGATAAGCACAATAAAAATTAATTTCTCGAATCTTTGTGCTAAGTTTTGTGTGTGTCTATTGATTTGTGATCGATAAACTACATAGACTAAGTCGATTTATTTGCGTCTTTCTATAAATATGTACATATTTAATAGTAATTCCA